CCCTTGTTTTAGAAGTTGAAATCCACATATCTTAAAATTACTAAGGTCGGGAAACACAGGACCCAGTCAAAGTCTCTTACTAGTAATTTTGGCAGCACATTTACCATAACTGGGTCAAACATCACAATTTCTGAAATTACCGGATCACCATCCACTTTTTCTAGGAAGTATCCGAATCCCACAAACTTCTACAAGATTTCATGGCATTATCAGCCCCTTCCCACCTGATCATGCAGAAAGTGTCGGGGTAGAGGCGGGGAGAAAACTAACAATTTACAGGGTAAAGATGGCAATTATTTAAAAATATCACGACCACCCAAGATTATTAAGTAATCCATTCAATCTTTGTGAATTTGGGAAGACTAGAAGGAAACCCAGTGCGTAATCACTTGAAGGGGGGCATAACATCTTTGCACAGTAATGAGCCATTAGCTTAGAAATGTTATTCCTATGTAAAAGGAAGATTGTTTTAGTTGTGTGGGAGTTGGTGGTGAAATAATTGAAAACAGATCCTTCAAAATATATAATGCTTCAGAAAAATGGACTACAAACCTCCTAAAATTCTGAAAGGAAAATAAAGGCATTCACATGATTTGCAAACATTTTAAAACTTTCATTTGAAAAAGTATATAGCTACACTTGGATCTTTTAACTTCTATTTTCACTGGAACCTATATGAAATGAAACATTTTAACTCAGTTGAAACATTTACCAAATGGAAAAGTTGTTGGATACAACAACCAACAAAAGTTGTTGGTTAAAATGAAACATTTTAACTCAATTGAAACATTTACCAAATGGAAAAGTTGTTGGATAATTTAAAGCTGATATGCACTAGAAATGTAGATCAAGTTATTTCATAATTTGCAACAATAAAATTTCACAAGCTTTTTGACTCCAAGGACTAAGTTAATGCCTAGAAACCTAAATGTACTTACTCAGAAGTAAATTTTGTTGACTGACAGAACAAAGCTACCCAGAATTTTACTGCATTAGCAATTCAAATGATCAGACTTGCAATCCACATCTGGAGGGCCCTAGGTTGCCTTATTCAGAGCCAAGGCAGCTGTATCAACAAATGCACAGGTTCTCTGGCCTTCTCCTTTGCAGGGACACATATTTTCTCTTCTTGTCTTTCAGCACACCTTAACATTTTTCCCCCTTTCATGTTAGCTTTTATGTCATTTGTGGCCCTGCAGCTACTATAATACTGAAGATATTTCAGCCTTTGATAAAAATATATTATATAGGGCTATTGTGTAATATTTTCTGTACTATTACAGAACAGTTTTAGTTGTTACATCATTTTATGTGATACAGTATATTCAATTCGGAGAAGCAATCAATATTTGTGTGTGTGTGTGTGTGTGTGTGTGTGTATTACTCCTGTGACTCCACTGCCAAACCTTACAGACACACCAATGCATCAGCAATTTATGACAATATATCTGCACTCACCTGACAATTAAGTCCTGCCCATGTTATTGACATTGGACAGGGGTTATAACTGAGATGGCATACTATGATAATCTTTGATAATCTCTCACTCCGAAGTTTATTCATGTTTGCTCAGTAGCAACTTTACTTCAAGGAGTTTATTCCAATCATGCATGTATATGGATGGTGACATGAGTTTTCTTTACATAGCAATCCAGAGTTTACTAGTATAGAGGGGTCTGGATCAACTCCTTTAATATGCTACATTAATGATAAAGTTCGTGACAAGTAGGTGCATTTATAATAGCTTTTATTTCCTATGGGAAGGTCTCTTTCTGCTCTTAAACATCATTAAAAACTCACTTGTGCTGGAAAAAAAAATCAAAATATATTTGCAGTAAGCACTCAGCCAATGTAACACAAGGATAACATCTGTGCCAGAATCAGCCTGCCTAGAAACTCCTAAGTATATTAAAAATTTAGTACAGCAAATAAGAAATCTGAGAACCCTGTATATAAATCTAGTAGGGTTTAGAAGAAAAATGGGATTAAAATTCTCAGTTAGACATTTTTAAACTTCTGCTGGTTCTATTTACATTGATAAACCATAGCATAAATAACATTAAACAGGTACATTCTCAAGGTCACTGAACATTTGAGATTGGCTGTTAGCAGTTTTGTGCTATCTTGTTATATTCACAATAAAGTAGAAAGGGGGAATTTCCTTCCTGCACAGCAGTCCTTTTTAAGAACATCAAACAAGATACTGTGCACTCAGTCAAATCACAGGTCTGTCAAATTCAGTATTTCAGTAGATGCTGATGTTTCCCATCTGTGGTTTGTGATAGCTGAACCCAGGTATATGCATATCTATACACGTACAACTATTAGCTACAGACCCAAATGCATTTCAGTGCATTCAGTGCAATAACAGCATCAGTCAACAATTTACTTAGGAAACAAGTACTTATGGTTTATATGCAAGAGCGTGTTTGCTTGTGATGTATGTAAAAAATCAGATCTGAGTTGCAAAAAACCTAGAAGACCACCAGATGGCTGGCTGATAGCCCATATCTATGGATAGTTATTTACAAGTATTAAAATAAATTATAAATGGGATATATAACCCATAACTCTCATACCAAATCTTGCCAATGCAATTCTGTTCAGTGCAAGCTTACAAACTACATATAAAGTCCTTATTACTAGCTGACATAATTAGGTGTTTCAAAGCAAGAGTAAAATCAAAATAGCACATCTGCTTTTCCATGGTGAACATTATAATGAATGCAAAATAGATGTCAGCTACATTCTAAGTCTGCACAATGCTTCAAATACACTGTAATATGCTACCAAAGTGTCAAGGCCACCTTTCATAAAACCAAGATGTATTATATACAAAGTCTGTAACTGTACACCTAATATAAATGTGTGATGGCAGGAATGGAGGATGCAGTAAGATCACAATATTTTTGTTATTTTATTTTTAAAAGAATTAAAAGTCTTGCTTTCTTCTGAAGTACATTGACTACCCTCTACTGGTTCCTAGGTGGCCCATTATAAGGGATTGTATGCCTATTATTGCAAGATTCACATGTGCAACCAATTGTGTTAAATAAACCATGAAATCCCTAGTGAAGCAAAGTGTACAAGTATCGTGAAAAAAGGCTTGTTCACCACATTTTTTACAAAGGGCAACTGCAAAATATGGCTATATAAAGTATATATTCTCAGTTCAATATCCCTGTAGTAATGTTTTTCAACTTTGGCAACCTCAAATGCTATGGTCTTCAATTCCCAGAATTCTCCAGCTTCCATGCTGGTTGGGGAATTCTGGGAGTTGAAGTCATCAACTTATCTTGGTGCCAAGGTTGAGAAACATTGCCTTAAAAACTTGATCTCTGCTCCTTGTGAAGCAAGAATTTGCTGAAAATTGCTGCCATCATATGTGATGTTGCCCCTAAAACTAGTTTCAAAGGGATTTAGGCCAATTATTCAGGAAGGAAAATAACTGATTCTAATCTACATGGCTATGTGGCACACTGTCTGAATCACAGGCAAAATAAAATATTATTAGTGAATGTCAGTCAGAGTACTGTCATTTTCTTGCTAATTCTTATAAGTCTCTAAAGGCATGGGACTGACCATCAGGAGAGACAGCATATAGGACAGAAGTCCCATTCTCATGTTTTTACAGTAAAACCCCTCCATATTCTGGGATTCTAGAATATGTCTAGAATTTACTGCAATACAATCAAATGCACAAGAAGGTACCACATGTGAGTCTGTAAAATACAAGTCCCCAAGAGAAGATTTGAAAAAAAAATGCAGTTCACAGATCTGTACATCTCTAAAAAATCCAGAAGCACCTGCATTAACTTAATAGTGAATTAATTTACTGTAAACTAATTACCATCAATTGACAATGCATATGACTATGGAAAGCAGAAGTTCTATTATGCAATGTAATGATTGAAACAATCCTTGAGTTATAGCTTACAGGTAGCTTCAGGCAAATTATTATATTCTTAATATAAAATAGAAACCATGAAAAACAAGCTTATTGAAAAATCTGTAGCATATAGTACCATCACTACATATGTATAGTTGCATGAATGTTGTTTGAAACAAATTTCACATGGAGCAAATGGAATTAACACAAGTCAAGAACCTTCCTATGCAATGGAGCAATAATTAGCATTGCTGTTACTCGGGAAATGTGACTTCATGAATCATGTGAAGGTAATCCTATCAGCGCCAGACGGCATAGCCGAGGACCAACAGATGCTCTCGATGCTGAAACCTCTGAAACATCAAAGGTTGCTCACCTCATGTAAAAATCAGAATATGTTTGGTAGGAAATCCAGTTACTACTGTATCTCCTTATGGTCTGGTCTGCTGCAGATTTTCTAATGTCTTGTAAAAAGGCATCGAGGAAATGAAATGGGAAATGGGATGTAAACCTGTGCCTTTCTGAATGTCATGGGGACATCAACCTTTTAGGACCGTTTCTCGAGATGCTTCTCTGAGAAGGTGTCTTAGAGCTTCCTGTAGGTGTGAATCGTGCCTTCGTGTTTTTCCCTTGTCAGTATTACCATGGCAACAAAGCAGATACTAAGGTTTGCAACCCCCTTCTCCCACCCCAACTAAGCTTTGCTTAGTTCAGGAAAACATAGATTGAGAAGAATTTTGGCTTCATTCCCAAATATTTCTATTAAAAAGCTTTCCTCTTCACTCCTCTCCCAGTCATACATTTCCTGCTGACATTCAAAGGCAGAGTTATTTTTCATAATATTCTATACATTTTTTTTTTCCAGTAAAAGCCTGCCAACATTGTTGCTAAAACTTACTGGGTTCTGTTTTGTTTTTCCTTTAATAGTATGTTCTGAAGCAGTAGTTAGAATAAAAGATTGAGGGCTGACAAATTCAAAATGGCAATCTTATCCCAAAACTTTATAACAAAAGAAGGCTGCTGTCCAACAATTGCTGTTCCCTGTTTAGAACGTGATATTGCTAAATTTGGGGGTCTGTAAAAAAGCAAGCCAAATTTCAGTTCTATTGAAAGGCCAATGGTGGAAGGATAACTGCTAAATCGCACATTAATTTGAGATCTAGCCAACAATGCAAAATCTACCTATTAATAAAGAAATGAGCTTTTCTTCATCATAAAGCACCAGTAACTATTCCATTCTTACGCACATTTAATGAGATACAAGTTCCACTCATAGCAAGGAGGCTTAGCCCAAGGTGTGTGCCCCTCACCCACCCAACAAGTTTTTTAAAATGTCATTTTGGCTGGAGCTGGATCTCTTTTTACGTTAATTTAAATGCACTAGTTATAAGAATGAAAAGTCTTCCTTCATCAACCTTAAAGCAGCAACCTTTTAGTAGGGGGACTGCTTATAAATAGCCTTCCAGGCATGGGATCTAATGACAAATTCCCCATTCTTTGGCTCCAGGGGATGGTAAGCTTTTCCAGAACAGATCAGAAGGCTTGTACTGGGAAGGTGGGGGGGGGGGTTGCAGGGGCAGAAAAATTCCCTTGTACAAGTAGAAATCCATTTCCATATCTTGACTTCCTGCATATAAAGTATGTTTCTACTTTCATAGGGTGTTGCAAATGCCCTCGACATATATGTTTAATTCATTCTGCAACACGGAAAAGGACCTTAGTTTAATTATAGAACATTTTGATCCCAAGTTCAATTACCAGAATTTCCATAAAAGGGGGGCTGGGGGGGGGGAGATAGTTCTATGTGAAACCTCATCCTGCAGCCAAAAAGCAGTGATCAATTAGGTGGACTGGACTAGACGGGTCATGGATTTGAACGGCATTTTTCTCTTTTCCTAAATACAGTACTTGAATATTTATTTGATGAAGCTCGCCTTGTTTTAGGTAGGAACCATCAGTTCATCTAGGTAATACTCTATGGCCATCCCAGAATCTATTCAGCAGATCACCATGATTTCAAGTCGTGTAAATGATTGCAATCGAAATACGGGTGTTGTAAAACTAAATAAATACGGCGAATTATATTAAGAAACTGGGATTTCTTTTACATCATCCCCAGAAATTATTTTTTCCAAACAATCAGCACTGTGGATTCCACAGTCCAATTTCGTTTCTCAAATTCATGTCTTTAGCATGAATGATTATACACACAGCCCGGTGTTCCTGTTTGTTTTGCGCAGGAAATACTGGTTGTGACCTACTTTTCTTTTTGACCGTTTTTTTTTTTATCCTCTCAATCATTGCCCTAGAGATTTTGTCTAAAGGTCAAGTTCTATAAAACCATCTTCTCATCAGATTTCCTCAACTTTCACCCCCTTCTCCCCCAAATGTCTTGAGCTACAAGAGCAAGATTTCCAGACCACACAGGAATCGGAGAATCTGCTCTCCAACACGATCTGAAGAGAACCAGACTGTGAAAGGCTGCTCTAAAGTTTTTTTTGTTTTGCTTTAATTACTGCAAAGAGAAGAATTTACTGGAGCAAATGCCATAATAATCCCAAAGAACAACCTTAATGGGTGGGATAAATCTCAACTTTCTGCTAATTTCCCTCAAAGAGCGCTAGGGAGAAATATCCTTTCCCAACTCCTGGACAAGCAACACATGCTGCTCAGCTGACAAGAGGTCTTTGATTTACAGCTTTCAGGGGAATATAATCAAAGCATGGATTTTTCTCTCTCTCTCTCTCTCTCTCTCTCTCTCTCTGCAGTTCCACAGAATCACCACCAAGATTAAATCAGCTAAACAAGTGAACTAGAAAATCGGGCGGAAGAATTATAGAATTATTGAGGGCATGCCTATAACATTGGGGGGTGGGTGAGTGGGAGAAAAAGGGGGTATTGGATGGGAAAGGCTGCCAAGTTGGAATTGGGTCTGATGAAGTGAACAAAGCCTCGAATGGCTTGTATATTTGTATATTTCGGGGGGGGGGGGGGGGGATTTCGAAAAAGCTCGTGAGAGAAAGCCTGGAGCCAAAGCGATGAAAACAAGAGACCCAATTCCAGCTCTTCCCCTTTGCAATGGGCGCCTGACGTTATAGAAATAAGGGCATCCCGAGCAAGTCAATGCCTCTCCAGTTAAGCGGCCTCTTTCTTCCTATTCAGCATAATATCCTTCTTTCCAACCTGGAGACACCCCCTCAATTCGAAAAAGCGTAGGAATTCAAAACGCTCGCGCAATATATATATATATATATATTTTTTGGCCCGGGTTTGATGGGGAAACGGAAGCGACCAACCCTTAGAAAGAAAGCGGGGCTGCGGCTAGCTCGAGACCTTCCCCCCCCCCCTCCCCATAACCCTCATCCGCCCCGGGCGGGCCCGGCAGGTTGTGGGGCATCCCACGGCCCCGTCCCAACTAGAAAGTACCGAAGGTCGAGCCGCCGGCCGACCTTACTAGAGAGAGAGCAAGCGGAGAAACAATGAGGGGGAGAAGAACCAGGCCCGGCTCTAACACCGTCACCGCCTCCTCCTCCCTCTGGGGAGACCCTCGCCGGCCGCCCTTAGGTCGAAAGGCGCCCCAAGCGGGGTCACGAGGGAGGGTCGTCCGGCCCTCCCCCGGCTCTTCCCCTCAAGCGGACTATCTACCGCAGCGCCCCGGGGTCGGCTCTGAGCAGGGTCCCGCGCCCATCCCCTCTATCCCTGCGACTGAGGAACCCCCCCCCCCCCCCGGTCAGCGTTCTCCACACGGCCCCCCCCCCCCCCGCCCCGCCGCCTCAGGGGACGGAGCAAGCTAAGCCGGTCGGCGCTGTCTTCTCCCTCAGCCCCTCCTGGGCCCCGCGCGCGCCTTTCCTGGCGCTCTCTCTCTCTCCCCCCAGGCACCCCCCGCACGCCCGGGCGCCAAGACTCCGGACGCCGCCTTCCCCGTCTCTTTTTTTTCCAAAGCCTGCCCTTGCCTCGGCCGACCGGGGGCGGTTTGGGGGCAGAAAAAGGACGCGGGGCTCGCCTTCCCGCCAGCGCCTCGCGCGCGCGAGCGAGCTTCTTCTCCTTCATCACCATCATCTTCTTCTTCGCTTACCGCCGCCGTTGGTTCCTCGCGACCGTTGGAGCCGGGCTCCCCTCTCGTTCCCTCCGTCGCCATTTTCCCACTGGCAAAAGAAGGGAGCCCCCCCCGAGTTACGGGCAAGAGGAAAACGGCGCCGGAGCGAGCGAACGGCGGGCGCCCCCTCAGCAGCAGCAGCAGCAGCAACGGCGCCCTCCGCCGCCGCCGCCGCCGCCGCTTAACTCCTTCGGCCCCAGCCGCGGAGCGCGCCTCCCTCCGGGCCCCCGAGATACCGAGCTTGCAAGCCCGGGAGGTGGAGCCGTTGAGGTGTTATTATTTTCCCGTCCCTGATGATGGGTTGGGTTTTTTTTTTTTTGTTTTTTGTTTTGGCACTCCTGCTTTCATTTGCAAAATGCCCTCTTGGATTGTCCGATAATTATTATCCCCGCGTCGGATGTTGTGGGCTTGTGTTTGAAAAAAAAGCAGCTACAAAACGGGAGGCTGCGGGGGCTTGGCGGGGTGAAGTCGTGCAACCACAAAGCTGACATCGTAACGCTTTGCCAGTCGGTGTCCCGGTGCATCCCAGTCAGAAGCGCTGGGTGCCAACGGTTGCTCTCCTGAGGATGCGTGTATACAGCCCATCATAAACCGAGGGACTCGTTTCCCTCACCCCTCTTTGCTTCCCTTTCCTTAGCCGGTGAACCACCATTAAACCCGCCAGCCAACCCAGTAGAAACCATCTGGGTAAATGGTGCCTGAGCTCTAGGTTCCTTCTTGAGCGATGTTTCCCTTCCTACACCCCCCCATTTCGTTGTAGTTCAGACTTAAAAACATTTTAGAAATAAGGTCATGGAAATCAGAAACATCACTTTTACTTAGCCTTTCCCTTCTCCCTTCTCTTTCCTTCCCTTTTTACAGACAACAAATGTAGGCGTTCAGAGCCCTCCATTTTCTGTTTGAAACATAATAGTCCCACGATTATACTCTTTTCAGCCTCACGCTAAACAAGGATGGATCATAGTGTTAAACCTTAGTAAATCATCTGGTTAAGCCATTGAGAGCTCTGGTGTTTCTGTTGTAGACCACTCCTTATATTTACCAGTTGCTGGTTGTCCGAAGGGGCTTTTCCATAAAAAACAAACCGATGAGTGTTTATAGCATGGAACTCTTTACATGGAGCTAGTGTGGAAATGCTTGAGGAATAGAAAGAAAACATTTATGCTAGAAAAAGTATAGCTCTCTCCCCGGTACAAATCAGCACCCAGTGTCACTGTCCAACTCTTCAGAGTGATGGTAGATAACACTGACCAGGGACTAAAGGGGTCATGTTGACAGAACTCTGAAACATCCAGAAAAGTGTCTCTGATCCCATGCAAGATTGAACATTCGACTTTGCCTCCAACAGAAGACATTGTATATACTTTGTAAATCTTCTTAGATACTGGATAGATGCGGAAAGGGCAGGGGAAGACACTATTTTATTGAAGCCTGTCTTGGGTTGAGGATGAGTTGCAGGCCAGGTCATGAAAGTGTGAGAGACAGAAGTTGTTCACAGGACATATTTGTACCACGTTAAGGTATAGGAAGGAAAGGCACTTAATATCCAATGACATATT